TGTCCTTCACCTCTTCTTATTCTCCTCTAGGATAACTTGCGAGTTATTCCTGTTTCGTCTCGGCTCCTAATCTCCTTCTATCCGCAAGTCCGACGTCATTTGTATCCTTCTTCTTAATCTAAGAAAGCAGTTTTAGGAAAGTTGTAGTGTCTTTATTTTGTTGTTTGTAAGTGTCTAAGTTTGTAAGTCTTTATATATCTTAAAGTGAAGTTGTTTTTTTGGGTTCATTTATCTATTTTGTGTTCTTTTGTGTATCTTCTAAGTTATAGGAAGAGTCTTCTTTTGTAATCAAAAATTTGGGTCCCTTCCCTAATTTTTGATTGCATCAATTTGGTATCAGAGCAAGTTCTTATCCCGGTGGTCGAGTGAGTCTTAGTGAGTCATATCAATTGTCGTGTGTGTCATGTGAGTCTAAGTTTCTTTAGGTTGAGTCTTTCTTTCTTTGAGTCTAAGTTTTTTGTTGAGTCTTTCTTTAGAAAAATGGAAAATCACAAAAAAAATTGATTCAGTCAAAGAAGCAAGCAACCCAAAAGATTTTGAAGTTCAAAGTCCAATGGACAGATGGATGCCGTCAAAAGGGAGTTCAACTAATCCGCTTCTGAATGAATTATACAAACTTCAATCGAAGATGCATGTGTGTACGGAGAAGTACATGAAGAAGAAGCAACTGTTGTAAGCTCAGTTGTGGGCTCCGAAAATTCGGCCCCGGCCTCCACTCGCTTTTCTTATTCGGCGATGGAGTTTTAACGAACTAAGTTCCGAGGTAAATTTTGGAAGGCAGATGGGTTTGTAGATAAGACACTACCCAGAGATTTCGCCCTCATTTTATGAGGACTTTATGATCTGAGTTCTGGTTTCCTATAGGCGCAAGCCCTTATAGTTAATTACCCCTCCCGATAACGAGAGAGAACTTTCGATTAAGGCTAGTCATCCGGTAGATGAGTTTTTCAAGTAGGGGAGTCTGATGTAGGCAAGGGAGGGTCAAACCAAATCCTAAATTTTGGGTTTTGACTTCCCTTGGACTTGTTAGCTCATTAATATTTTGAGCTGAAAGTTAGCTCATTATGAGCTGTTTTTTAGTTCATTTATTGAAGTAAAAAGTTTAGCTCATTTATGTAAATTTAGTGGAAGCTCATTATGGAGGATTTTAGCCCTTTCTCTTCCCCATATTTCCTCTCGGTTTCCTCCTTGCCTCCTCGTTTTCTCTTGGCTACCTGCTTGGTTCCCGTGGATGGCTACTTGGTTCCCGTGGCTTGGCCCTTTGGTTCCCGTGGATGTCTGTTTGGTTCCCGTGGCTTGGTCCTTTAGTTCCCGTGGATGACTGTTTGGTTCCCGTGGCTTGGCCCTTTGGTTCCCACGGCTGGCTGCTTGGTTCCTGCGGTTGGCTACTTGGTTCCCACGGCAGGTTGCTTGGTTCCCGTGGCTGGCTGCTTGGTTCCCGTGGCTTCTCTTCTCTATTTTGCTGAACCGTTTGGGGGCTGCTGTTTGGTGGTTGTTGGCCTTACTTGGAGGGGGGAATTCTATGGAAATTTCTCTGATTTCTATGCAGATTTCCAGCAGTTGTTTTACCCTATTTCCTATGAAGATTTTAAGTGCTGTTTTGCTGATTTCTGTGCAGTTTTTGGGGGTTGTTAGTAGTGTCTTTTGGCCTTCCATTTGGTGACTTTTGGCCTTCTATATTTAATAGCTTTAGGTGGTTGTTTGGCTGCCCTTTTCTTCTATAAATAGGAGGTGTTGTGGGATGTAAAAAGAATGTTATGATGATATTTTTGGAGCCAAAAAAACCTGTGAGGTTTTTCTTCTTTCTTCGGAATAGCTTGCGAGCTGTCCTTCACCTCCTCTTATTCTCCTCTAGGATAACTTGCGAGTTATTCCTATTTCGTCTCGGCTCCTAATCTCCTTCTTCTATCCGCAAGTCCGACGTCATTTGTATCCTTCTTCTTAATCTAAGAAAGCAGTTTAGGAAAGTCGTAGTGTTTTTATTTTGTCGTTTGTAAGTGTCTAAGTTTGTAAGTCTGTATATATTAAAGTGAAGTTTTTTTTTTATCTATTTTGTGTTCTTTTGTGTATCTTCTAAATTATAGGAATAGTCTTCTTTTGTAATCAAAATTTTGGGGCCCTTCCCTAATTTTTTATTGCATCAAGATTTTATTGAATAACTACTTAATTTGCATTTTGTTGAAATTCTAAATTACTTTGGTGATTCAAGTTTTTAGTATGTGATTTGGCCTAAGCGTAGCTACCCCTCTTTCGTTTTTTGTCATCATTTATTGGCTAACAGTCTTAATTACTATTTGGTTTTATTCAAAACGTGCAAGTTCTTCTCGCATTCATTTAAATCATATTTAGTCCTGCATCAGTATGCCAACTTCATGTAATAATATTTCCTCTCATCAGTGCTTGCTTCATAATGGCATAATCATGCCCACTTAATGACAGGTAAGGTTTGCTATAGAGGAAAAAGTGGACTATTATAACAACCATCATTGAGCTGACATAAAACCTACAGTCATGAAGTAGAAAGAAAGCATGCAGAAGAAGTCAAATAGATGGCCCAAGTGATAAATATCTCTGTTAAGTATTGGTTCTCCATTGCTACATGCAACCTTTACTTCAAACAGGGAGATTTGGCTGAGTCAAACATCACGACCCTTCCCAACCTGAATATACTCATGGTAGATGATATTTTCTTGCCTTAATGTCGAGTTAAATCCTGCAAAGATATCCTCACTTAGGTTGATTCCATAAGAAGCCTTGCTTATGTCACATATAATGATGTGAAAAATCATGTCAAATGCATCTGCATGCATGTATTGGAAGCACCTTCAGTGGAGTAGCCAGAACCCTTTGACCAATTGTCACAGAATTTGTTTTTTGGTTTGGCATGAACCATCCCAACGATGAAATACTTCCTGTAAAACTGTGCCCACATACACCAAGAATGGTTGGTGTGTGCAATATATGATCTTTATCGAATTCCTCCAAAAAATTCCTCATTTTCAAAGACTCTTCCAAATAGTTATCCTAGTTTATATCAATTTCCTGAAGAGCCTCCCCCTATGGTAAAGAAAACTGCATGATTTTAATTTTCCAGCTTAACTTCACCAATCTTTTTGGCTCCAAGTAATTTGATGCAGTAGATTTCCGAATCAGCACCATCAACTTGGCTTTGCAAGTTTATTTATTTTCCATTTTCATTTCCCATCTTTTTCTTTTTGGATATATTTATCATCAGAAGAAGCTTGTGTATCACTTATTGAACTCTCACTCTTCTTCTCCTCAATTATTCGCATCTTCAACTTTTTCATTGAAGGAACGCCACCACCCCAACAGCTTCTTCCTCCTCCAGTGTAACGGTTATTGTGAACCCTCCATGTTTCCCCCGTGCAACGAGGGTGGGACCCCTACCTTTCTTCCATCCTCTTTACACGACTCGATCCCCATGGCTTGGCTCGTCCTCCTCCAATCGCCACTCTCCTTGCCCAAAAAGCCTCCCATAGTGGAGGACCACTCCAGCACCTCCACAATAAAACTTCCTTCCGTCTATCCCCCCATATGAAAACACTATTTCCCCCCTTTCTCGAGGCCCTAGGAGGTGGCTCTTAATGAAAGAAGCTCTTCTAGTCGAACTCTTCCCATCTAATATCTTCCCTTTAGTATCAGCCAAGGGAATCTCAATCAAATCTTGATTAGGGTTAGCAACTGAAACCGTTGGTGGGGTTTTGGATCACATCCTCATGAGTTTTCTCATCATCTTTTTCAAAAATTTCTCTCTCTTTGGTTCAGCCGTAGGAATCGCCGGTGAAGTTTTCAACTACATTTCGATCATTTGCTTCATCATATATTCCCAATTCTCAAACCTTCTTTCTATCATTGAAATACGTTCATTCATCGATCTCACGTCCGCTCGTAATTTCCCTACTTCCTATTCCAACTTTTCTTCCAACGCTTCAACTCTTATTCCAGCCATTGGTACTCGGATCAAGGCTTTAATAGCAAAAATCGATAAATTTGATGCGAATCTAGCCTCCAAACAGTACAAGTCAACAAACGGAGAGGAAAAACTCGACAAAAATTAGCAATGCAAGATTGAAATTTTGGTCCAGGACATCGCTTTGATACCAATTTGATACGCCGTGGAAGTAAAAATAGTAAACAACAATACAACAACTGCATTAAAACCAAAAACAGTAACTGATTTTTTTTTAAAACTTAATAAAAACTAACAAGATACAAGTGATCTACAATTCGAGAGGTAAATCGGCTCTCCTAAACAATTGAAGGCAGTTGAGAAAGGGAGAGAAAAAACTAAATGCGGTGGAATAAAGAGAGTTAAGACAAGATTATTGTTGAATGAGAAGTTTATTGGAAATAGTGTACAAAAGAAAAAGAGGCCAGGATACTTCAAGTGAACCAAATTACCCAACTTTTCTGAAAAACAAGTGAAATACCTAATCGAAGTTATAGGAAATATAATTACATATCCATATTAATTATGTTTACTATAGTATTTATTTCAATTTATTCCACTTTATTCATGTATGAATATAGATAATTCACAGAGTAATGACAACAATAGCATGTCATGATGGTTAAAAAACAATGATATTGAGAAGGTTAAATAAGTTATATATAGGGGAGAGGCCCACACAAGTAAAGGCAAAAATACTTGACGGGTAAGCCTACACTCTCGAAATTCTAAAAGTAGGGGATTAGGACCCAACCTTGAATTAGAGAGTAACTTCAATTCTAAAAGTTAAGAATTTAGACCTAACCTTAAATTGAAAAGCTGGATTGGTGCAATAACCTATAGCCATTATATGACTTTATAAAAATGTTGAACAGTAAACAGAACAAAAAGTGATGTTATGTTTTTCTTATATTAGTATAGAATTTTACATGTGTTTTACATTCATTGTTAATATGTTCAGAATTATTTTTTCTACATTGCTTGCATATTTCATTGAGCTCTGACTAATTTAGTAGTGGTTGTACTGCAGACAAGGGGTTGTACTGCAGACAAGGGGAAAGAGCTAGTGATGTAATAGTCGAGATAGTTGGCTACTCTTTTGTGTACATACACATTTTGGGTGTACAGAGAGATCTGAGTGATAGTTGTACAAATTTTTGGGTATGCAAGTAAATTTTAACGGTTTTAGTAAAGCTCTATATTTCAATTGAGATGTGCGTTTTATTTGAGGTATATTATATATGCTTCCTATTGTGAAAAACTTGATGTGTTATGATTAGTTATGTTAGGATAATTTGAATAGACTATTTTTTTACTTATTTATTTTTTATATCAGTGTTTCAGAATGGGTGTAAGTAAGAAGAAAGTCTATTCAGACCCTCCTCTGTTACACTTTACAATGATTTTAGGGGGTTAAAATGGGGTGTGACACCCACAAGGTGGGCCCCCTGGCGTATCATGGACCCTATCAACTCTACTCTCGTATATAAAAAGTTGAACTTGAGGATTAGCTGTTAGCTTAACCTTATCGACTCTAGGATTAGTATGTAAAGGATAAAGCTAGTGACTATTATTGACTACGGACCTCTACTATACTCATGTAAAGGATTGAACCTTGGAATGTGACTAACAACTCAAAAATGTGGAAGCTAAAAAAAATGCAACTTACAGCCCTAGGGAAGGTAACCTGTTCAATCTATATTTTTGCTTCCTTCTTGTTCAATTTAGGCAACCATCAAAATGCAGGCCTTAACAACTTCTGGCATGTGGAAGATCACGTTGAGATGGAGCCCATATTTTTTTTTAATATCCATACCATGCTCTTTATGTTTTCTATAATTTTGAGTACTTAATACCATGGTTTAAAATTGCGCAATATGAGGCTCGCCTTGAAGCCTGCCTTTGCACAATTCAAGTAAAAAATGCCTCGATGCTTACGCCTCGAGTTTTTTTTATGAGGCTTGCACCTCAACTTGGTTGAGGCCCTCCTCGCCTCACTGGCATGAGGCTTACGCCTCACGCTATATATATTAAAACTTACATAAATCTTGAAGTAAATGCCCGACATTGGACTCTATAGGAGAGGAGGAAGGGGAGAGAGCAGTTCACGATAATGATGATTCAAATGAAGAACCCTCAGTGATGACAATGCTGATGACTTATGAGTTCTTATGTGATATGTCATTGCTATTTATTTTTGGAAATTGGAATTATATGTTAATGAAAATAATACTGGGATTTGAAAAAGATAGAATTTTGAGTTGAACTATATTTCATGTTGTCTTATTATTGAGATATTTTGATTTCACTTCATATCTTATGTTTTTTTATGTTTTAATGTTTTATATTATTCACTAATTAGTATATAAAAAATTTATCATTTTATGTTTACACAATCTTTTGATTTTGAGGCTTACGCCTCGCCTCTTGAATGAAAAACGCCTCAATACCCGAATACCCAATTTTAAACATTGCTTAATACGAATTTTACCAATTGGAAAATAGGGGATCTCGAACTTCAATAAGTCCCAATAAGGTATAGTCCACTAGATATGGCTCCTGGAATCAATCTAAAACTTTTTGGATCTCCTTGAAAATTTTAGTATTTTCTTTTTCATATTTATATTCTTGTGGCATATTGCAATCTTTTTCATATTTCTTTACAAGAAATTTTTATTTTCATGTTTTTTTTTTCTAAATTTTGTACTATGAAAAATACGGGCTACCGCTTCCTAAATTCTTAGTCAACTTAGATGCCCGATGACAACAAGTTAGAGGAGTTAGAGGAGAGAGATGCAAACAGATATTTGAATTGGAAATGAATTCACACGTCTTTTAGAAGTTGGTAAATTTATAGTGTTTGCTTCAAATGGCGTTCACTGCAGGCTTTATGATGCAACCTGATTCCCCTCGAAGTTTTATTTTCCATCAAGCAAGATCAATCTTTTGAGAGATCTAGAGAGTACCTAAAAGATATTAGGTATCAATTTTGTTACCTCTTCTTCATCCCACAACCTCGACCCATTCTTTGGGTGCTACATTAAAGTAAGTTCACATATGATAACATGTTATGTGAAATGCAACTAAAATTCTAACAAATGGAAAAAGATTGAGTTCGCCAACACCACGTAGTGGGGTAAAGGCATGTAATCGTCGTTGTTATTGGAAAAGGTTTAATCAAAACAACCTATCATATGTACACAATTCTGTGTTGGAAGTGCAGAAGAAATACAATAAACCACAAAACCAACCACCTAGTTTTTTATCGTAACTGACCTTTGTAATTCAGACTCCAATATACAATGGGGACTGAGAAGATAGAAAGAGCCTAGTTATTCTTATAATTTTAAAATATAAGCATCAAAAAAGAAGAACAATACAAGAAAGATCAATAGAATTGATCTGTTTCCATAGAAGATGGATTATTTTGCATACCAGGCAGAAGTCGCTTGGAAGAAAATATTTCAAACAATTCAGAGTTGTTGTCATTAACACACCAAAGGTCGGTTGGAAAATATATGGGTATTTTTCTGCTATTTACAAGCTCAATCAGGTCTGCCGCTTCACCAAAAGCATCATGCTCAAGAAAGCATGAGGGCACAGAAATTCCTGATGCATGCATAACTTGGAATGCTAGCATGCCCACAAAGATCAGGCCATCGCAGACAGAAGCTAAACGGAGTAAAGCAGCTGCCTTTTCTAGAAATTTGCCCCCTCCTATCTGTAAAAGAATGCAGTTTCCTTCAAAAATCTCACATTGTAAACATAAAACTGTTTTCAAATAACGAAACATAGTAGAAATGATAATTGTTTCTTCTAGCAGAATTTTTTTGAAGATGGAATTTTAAAGAAATAACGTCTGTAGATCAACACCAACCACGTTGGCTCAAGTTGCAGGATTATTGTTCCAGGGGAGGAGTTAATGTCTATTGTAATCAATAATCAAGGTTGCAATTACCTCGGAACTAGGTTTTTTTTTTAAACCAAAATCAATCATAAAAAAAAGTTTAACACGAAGCTATGTTTCAAAATATTAAGTTGATAATTTGGGATTGTTAGTGTAACATCAAACAATCCCAAAATCACATGGCTGGGAATTTAATGAATCAGGTATGATAGTATAAAGAAACCCATTCAGTTGCTTTACATGAATTATCCACAAGAGAAGCTTGAAGAAAACAAAATTTATTTAAAAGGAACAAAACAGTTATTTTCACAAAAGTTTGTGAATTAAGAAACATGGACTCAGCCCACCTTTTTCCTATGAGAAGATGATAAAACGTCTTGCATCAGTATATATGATGGACCATTATACTTTTAGCTAGATGCCTGCTTCTAGAAGTCCCATTGGGACAACGTATTGCAAGCTTACGAGTGAAGAAAATGTTGGAAAAGACAAAAAAAAGATTTTAAACCAATTACTCTGACCCAATAGTACCCCATAATTACGTATTTTGAGCTTAACTTGATTCCATATAAGACGAAGGCTACCAAAGCAGAGGATAAACTTGTATAGTCACCAAATATTTAAAAGGTCAAAGAAGTAGGTAAATGTAGAACTATTTGTAGACAATCCCTTTAGATTTTTGGGAAGCTAAACCACAAAGGGCTACTTAGGAACTTTTTAGCTCATTTTAAGCTAGATTTAAACAAGATTTAGCTTAAATACTACCAAACAAAACCTTTTGGGGGCTTTAAATCATAATATTTTGATAAATACTGTTATTGTTTAAATCCATAATTTATTAAATTCCGTCATTCACAAGATATAATGACTTCAAAATTTCTCTTCTAAAAAATCCTTAAATATGAAACAAATAGCAAATCAACTTATCAGGATTTAGCAAAAATTAACAATTATCATGTCAAATAATTTATGATTTTAATCCTCTCAAACTTAATTTGATCTGGATTTATAGGGGTTGCTATATCCAACTTAGTGGAATCCTGCTTGTTTGATTGAAAGCTTTATCCAAGATTTAAGCTAAATATTCTCCAACAATTTTGTGGATCTACTTCCTTCTTAAATCTCATTTCCTTGTGTTTTAGGCAAAATCCCAAATTCAGTAAATCCTAGGGAAGGTACAATTTAAAAGATTTGTGCTTATTTTTCCCCATCTTTTTAATCCTAAATCTTAAGAATATTTGTCAAAAAATTTACAAAGATTTAATCATATATAACATCTATATCATGCCAAATAATTATCAGGATTTAGTTGGTATGAATTAATAAGATTTACTAAAGCCTACTAGAAGCCAAACAGCTCCAGAAACTAAGGCCAGAGAGAGAAATAGCCCTTTTTTATAATTTGAAGTAAATATAAATCTCAAACAGGGTAAGAGACGTACAATCGCCAGATAAGGTTGCATTGTTATTTCTCTGATCTGCTTCAATTGAAGCAACTGATCTTCAAAATGAAAACCAGCAAGACGAGCATAACAAAAACGTGCAACGCCAACTGTTGAAGCAAGAATCTTATGAGAAAGAAAGAAAGCATCATTTACAAATATGCTGGCTCCGGATGCAAGTTTTTCAGAAAAGACGGGACAATTGGCAATTTCTTCTCTAAAAAGTGTTAAATTTTCAAAAAGAAGTATATCAGCCTTCTGAAACTTTTCTGATTTTATCTCCATGTAACAAGGAACAGTTTTTGCCGCTACAACTTTTAATTGGAGGAGGGATGATAAATGACCTGAAAAAACCATCGGCATAAAAATAAAAAAAATCATCAACCATATTTATACCACTTCTACTAAAAGGTGCTAGAAACTCTATGGATTAAAAATATCATCTTCGATAAAAAAAGAAAAAATTTGAGACAGTTCAAATTATAATGGCTTGAATATCCATACGTAATACATCTAATTTATATATCTACATAAAATGAGAAAATATGTAAAGTAAAATTCTCGTAGTTTTTGAATTTAATTGGGGGAACAATTGAAGGATCTTGACAGGACCTGTCTCTTTTAAAGTCTGCTTGTGAGACTTCAGTATCTATGTGGTCCTCTTAACAAACGTCAGCAACTTCATTTAAGGGGTACCTTAAACCCCTCCGCACCCTTATCTCCTGTCATCTGGTTTCTTGGATTTGAGATGCAATTTTATTAATCCATGTTTACTTCAATTAGTTGTAACGAAAAATTTGATTATTTTTTCTTCAAGGCTCAAGTTTGATATCCTATTTTACGCACAAATTTATATTTTTACATAAATATTCTTTCAAACTTAAGGAAATTCTATAAGATGGTGGTGAAACCTGCAATGCTTTATGGCGCAGAATATTGGCCATTAAAAGAGAAGCAAAAAATTAAAAAAGTATTGCAGAGCCAAAGATAAGGATGCTCAAGTGGATAAGTGGCTTTACTCTTAGAGACAGAATGTGAAACGGTATATACGTGAAAACGGTATATCCAATTCAACCATCCACTTGAATTCTACTAATAATATCCCCATCTATTTCCCCACCACTCTGAACAATAGACCAAAAATATCTATAACATATACTCTTATTAATGACTTGATCACCCAAAGCCTTCAAACTAGAGTCATTGACGAAGCAAGATCTCAAAGAACGAAGAAAGCTTCCATAATTTTCATTAATCAAAGCTATCCATTATAGTCATTTCTTCATCAGTTAAACCACTAAACCAATGAAAAAATGAAATTCAAAACAGGGTAAGGGGGATCCCGCCAATTCCAAATGAGTGAAGGTGATGGGCCTTGTTTTATGGAAATGATTCCTTCATGATAATGAAGATATGCTTGTGTTCTTTCACTTGGAATCACCCTAGACTTGATCTCCAATATGTATAAGACGGTCTCGTGGATATTTCCTTATTTGATCAACCTTTCAAGGCACATACATGCCCAATCTTCAAGAAACTTTATCCGACAACTAATACAATAATAAAGTTCATCTAATACACTGCTAAAGTCTTATATTACATTGACAACATAATTTTAATAGAATATTGACAATAAGTGCATAAATATTAACCTAACAAAAAGATTACGTAAATATTTTGGGGTTTCATTTAATATGAATTCTATTTAATGACTATATCTTTTATACATAGTAAATGGTGTACAACTATTTGATTCTTCCTTAAAAATTTTACTCATTCTTCTATTATATAAAGAAGGACAATAAGTAGCATTTCATTGTATCTATGATTTTGTCAAACTTTATGCAAAATCCAAAGTTTTTATTGAGCTCAAGCAAATGTAGCTTTAACTGAGCATTGGCTAAGCATGGCTAAATCTCAGGATCTACCATATATTTATTAGAGTCTCTGTTGTAAAGGTTGAAGTAATTTAGTCATATAATTTCTGGAATGAAAACTTCAATAAAATATTGTATCAATAAATAAATGAAAATATTCCTATACAAAAGTTGCATAAAAAAAGGACCGAAACAAGATTTACTTAAAAATGTATAATTAATAAAAGAGATATCAGACAACCAACAAACTAGTGTTTTGCAATCCTCATGTCAAGTTATATGTTGAATAACAAATGAGCATTGTTCATGAACATAAAGTATCAGCATGTTAGAGCCTAGAGATTATTAATTTCTTTTTGGACCTTCTAATCAATTTATTTAAGCAAATAAATATGAGTTATAATCAAATAACGAAGAAAAATCAAGCCATCTATCGTGGCTAGTGCCAATTCACTTAAAAACCCAATTCATCTGAAGTGAGAAACTATATTTGCCAAAACAAAACAAGTATAAGCATAAGATGAAGACATTAAGAGATAACAAGTAGGAATAAACATAACACCGAGCTCTCAGCAAGATTAACCATGAAAGAAAACTAGAGAACATCAGCAGTCGGTATACTTCAATTATCAGAATTGTACGAGAGGTTGATAAAACATGTAGCATATCGAGAGGTTGATAAAACATGTAGCATATCCACACGTACGTAGAGATGAATCATGAGAAACATCCATTTCAGAAACTTTAAGTTATGTAGATACGTTATAAAAGCAAAATGAAACTAACCAGCAACAGCCTCTACAGAAAGAACCGTAGGGTCACCAGATCTTCCCCAATTGCTGACAAGAAATACTTTAGCTCCAGCATTGTAAAGGTATCTAATAGTAGACAGGGTTCCATTTCCAAAAGCATTGTGAATGTTCAATAGTTCAAGCAGTGTAATCGAGTCAAACCGTAGCATCACAAATTCACCATCCAATTTTTCAACTGGGAAGCTCTTAAGAGTTTGTACATCAAGAACAAATCTCGATTCACTAGTATCACATTTATTGTCCTAAGATAAGAAATTTAAAACCAAGTAAGAAGAGCAATACAGTACAACTACGATGAATCCTTACTATCCAGAAGAAAAGAATCTCACCATGGTTTTTGCATGTCTAAATACAATTCAAAAATGCAACATCAGAACTAAAATGTCTAATCAACACAAGATCCAACCTAAATTTCTACCCATTACCTGCCCATAGATAGGTTATAACAGGTGACATGGTCGAGTTATCCATAAACTAGAACAATTGAAGTTCAATCTTTTTTTCAAGCTTTTGGAAAAGGATTATATTTCTTTAATCCCTCAATGGCAATCCATGTGAATTAGAGTTAAATATGCATCATCCATTATATTCTAAATCATGGCTGTAAATATTCTTCAAAGCAAGAAATAGAAAAATGAAAATACACATACAATTGCAACTCAATAAGGCATGCATTATAAGATTTTGGAACTAGCACATAACTAAATTAGCATATGTTACCTCATGCTGAGCATGGCATTTCCCAATAGATTTCTGTAAATGCCCATTAGAAAGTTGGGAATTTGTGCAGGGATACTTCAAGTTAGCTAACAAAGTAAAATAGTTAATAAGCAAGAAAGTTTTGGCAAAGAAAGAAAATAGAAAAGTATACAATCCTCACAGTAATAGTATGGAATTTGAATGTTGTGCAATAAGTGTGAATGTTCTGTATATGGTATAAATGAATACAAAGAAGGATGTCGTTGATACAAGGAACTAGGAGGGAGAAGCAGCCCTGGTGCTCCAATCATGCTCTACTGGAGGACAAAGTTCAAGCAAGATACAACTGCTATTAGTACTCAGAAACATCAAAACAAACGGAAAAAACATAGGTAGAAGGACAGGAAAAACAACCATATTGTGGACAAAGAAACGTGAAAAAAAGAACGGCATGATAAAGTTATCTGTAACATAAGAAAGACCAATCAATGTTCAAAAGAATATAAGTAAACTGCACTACAAGTAACTAGAAGAAGTATGTGATGTAAAATTGTGTATAACCATCTTGCACAGGTTGCTATAAAACTATAGCTTACTAAATTTGCTGTAGCGTTGTAGGTGTTAAATCCGTTTACTTGTACGACTACTGATGTGTGGAGCTCAAATCACAAATGCAACCATGCAGTTTTACAGGAGTGAATATGTATTAAAGTAACCAATCATTTCGATATTCACAATCTATTATGCAAATGATGAAAACAGACAATTACGCTTTCCAGGGTAGTTAAAACCTATTCTGATTGGCAAAAATTATAAAGCAAGCATAGATCTTGATGCATATCAAAGAGATAGAACCAGATTTTTGATTCATTTAATTTCAGCTCAACCAGTGCCCAAATGAGCTTCAATTAACTGAACTAGCAACTAGCTAATTTTGGCGCATGTGCATGCCTGAATTAGCCAAACCAAATCACAATGGACTCAAACCAGATAAAGCAATCCTACATACCGGAAGATAACAAACATAAAACCCCCCCACCAACCCCCCTTAAAAAAAAACCCGAAAGACCAATTTTAATGGTCAGGGGAGTATGAGAAAGGGATTGGGGGAATGTAAAGAATGTGTGTGTGTGGGGGCGAATTATTGCATTCAATCACCTGACAGAGAGATACATCCGAATTTCTCTCTGTCTACAGTAAAAGTGCAGTCAAAGCGCAGCTGCTACAGTACCTGCGCTTTACTGTAGATAGAGAGAAATCCGGATGTATGTCTCTGTCAGGTGATCGGGCCTAATAATTTGTCGTGTGTGTGTGTGAGAGAGAGAGAGAGAGAGAGAGAAGGAAGGGAGAAAAGATGCATACATAAGCCCATCATCTTGTCCAACTATACACTTTACCACTGCCATTGGCCATCTTCTGCCTTGATTGACAACCATTGCATGTACCTTCCCATCTCATCAAACATTTGACAGCATCCTTCAACATTCCACCACTATGAACACTAAAACAGGAGAAATGAGTGCATGTGTGTGTGAGAGGGGTGTTTAGTATCGGATTTATTTCCCGTTTTAAGTAGGATTTACGGTAAATCAGCCAAACGCAAAAAATGGCACTATAAATCCGTAAATCCAGTATTTGGATTTGCGGATTTACGCCATAAATCCAAGAAAACCTTGTAAATCCAAATCCCGTTTCTACTTGGATTTACAGGATTCGGCCGAAGAAGCGCGTGAAAGGGAGAAAGTTACCTTCACAGAGAGCGACCAAGCTCCCGTCGTTGCTTTTGATCAAAATGTTGTAACGTCCGATCCGACATAAAGGGAACAGCAACGAAGTAGTGAAGTCGAACAGCAACGAAGGAGCCAAAGAAGCGACTCGTGCAATCTCAACACCTCCTGCGAAGCAATGAAGCCGAACAGCAAGGACGAACAAGAGAAGAATAAAAGCAAACCCTAGATGCCTCAACTTAACTTAATTAATATAATTTAAAATATTAATAACTAAGTAAATAATTAATAGTAGAATTAGTGTATAAATTAATTATCTAATTTAACTTAATGATATAGTTAGTAATATAATTAGTAATTATAAATTAGTATAATTATCTTATACATTATTAAACATATAATTAATAATATAAATAATAGTTAAATAATTAATGAGCAGTAGAATTCTTAAATGATTAATGAGATAATTAATAATAAAATTTATAATTAAACTAATGAAATAATAATTAAATTATTAATTAAATAATTAGTAGGAATATTATTTAAATAATTAATTATTTCAAAATAATTAGTTAATACAATTTTAAATCTCCAACCATTTTAAATCTTGTTATCTATTGCCAAACATCTTTCTAGATTTAACAGGATTTAAAAATTGTCATGCCAAACACAATTCAGGATTTAAGAGCCCAGGATTTACTAAATCCGGATTTACATGATTTAGTAAATCCTACTAAAATTGAATCCAATCCAATACCAAACACCCCCACAGAGATAGAGAGAGAAGGAAGAAAGAAAAGATGCATACATAAGACCGCCATCTTGTCCAACTATACACTTTACCACTGCCATTGGCCATCCTCTGCCTTTGTTGACCACCATTGCAACAAACATTTGACAGCATCCTTTAACATTCCACCACTATGTACACTAAAACAGGAGAAAATGATATATGATTGGACATCATTGGTTCATGCAAGAACCTATGTAACCATTACGTCCAGTGAAACCTCCGCTACCTCCTTAGTTGCAGCTCACTGCAGCTCCATTCTTGCTAAGACATCAAACAAAATCAACTCCCACCTTAGCAAATGTCATCACGCCGTAAGCCCTAATCTTCACAAACAGTTGTAGTGTTTTTGGATCTCCTATTCCTCATCAAAATCCCAAAAAGCGGCCAGCTGCTGCCCAAGAGAACCAAGCCTGGCATTTATCACTCCCCATCGACCACTATAATAGTGCCAAACAACCAAAACTAAGAGTTTAACAACTTGTCATTTGGCATGCATGGTTCACCAATTTTGTAATATTCCGACTCAACTAACACCCGAACCATTGATGGTTAGTTCCATCACCTGGAATTTCGAAGGAAGTATAAAAAATAAAAAAATAAAAAATAAACAGCGATCCAAAAAGACAAAAAATTCGAACTGATAAACGTCGTTTGCGTCGCCTTAAGCCGCGCTCAAGAAGGTGAAGACGACGAGCGCGGACGAGAGAGTCATTCCATTGCTTGGGTTGCAGAGGCCAAAGAGAGAAATGTCGAAGAAGACGAAAACGCGCATATGGAGATCCGCTTGGTGTCTAGAAGACGAAGGGGCTCAGCTTCCTTTAAAACGCGAGGAGGGAGAGACGGGTAGAGACCAAGAGAAAGAGAGGGAGGAGCGAGGGAGGACCTGCATTTGAGCATGTGTGCAAGCTAGGAGGCGGCAGAAGAGTGACGATGGCTTGAGTGATAAAAAGGACTTGCGTTTTGGAGGGTGGATGAAGGCGGGGGCTACGGTCACAAAATCTTTTTTTTTTTGAAGGAAAAATTATTGGGAGCCCAATTTTCCAAGGTTTTGAAAATCTAAACGGACAACGAACCGGAACAAGGATAGGTTCACGGTTCGACCCCGTTCGACCGGTCTAATCGGGTCGAACCGGATGACGTAATAAATAATAAGTATGATTTAAATTTAATACAATTAACATAAAAATAATGTTATCATTCAAAGTATGAGATAAAAAATTAAATTAAAAAAAAACTATGAAACATAAAAAACTTATATAATTAAGTAAAATAATTATTTTAAAATCTTACATAAAAGAAAAAAGAAAATTAAATCTCATAATTATAAGAATTTAACATAATTATAACCATATAATTTAATATATATTATTATTAATTTATGTTACATATTTAATATAAATTTAATTCTAACTTAAATTTAATATAAATTATTCAAAATGCATTTAACTTTAATTAAATGTTTTTAATATATATTAATTTATTTATTTAAAAAAAATACTTAAAATTTGTGATATTTGAACCGGTCGGTTCAAAAATAACCGGACCGGTTCACCGGTTCGCGGTTGAACCAGCCGGTTCAGTCCGGTTCTTTGCAGAAGCGGTTTTAGGGCTGAAGCGGACCGGCCTTGTGACCGGTTCAAGGTTGAACCGGTCGAATCGGCCAGTCCGGTCCGGTTTTTAAAGCACTTCAATTTTCATTGAAGAAGATTAGTTGCATGTATGAGGTTGGGAAAATGCAATAAAAAAATATAATTATATAAAAGAAAATTATAGAAATGACAAAGTGACTCAAGCTCAAAATAAAAAATGGGAGAAAAAAAATCACTACAGAACTCAAGAGGAAAACTAATCAAAAATGGGCTCATATAGAAATTGTAGTTGATTATGGTTGCAGAATAAAACGTCCACGATAAATCACTATAGAAATCAGGAACGAACATGAGTTGAAGAAAATTTTTTTAAGTTCTGATCGTCCAGGATGAATGTTTAATCGTCCCAGGACGAAATATTTTCTGGAAAATTTTCGTTCAGATGAAATTCATATTCGTGCCAGGACGAAATGCTCTCTAGAAAATTTTCGTCCCGACGAACTCAAATTCGTCCCAGGACGAAATGTCCTCTGGAAAATTTTCGTTCAGACAAAATTCATATTCGTGCCAGGACGAAAGGCTCTCTAGAAAATTTCGTCCATACGAACGCAAATTCATCCCAGGATGAAATGTTCTATGTAAAAATTTCGTCCAGACGAACTCATATTCGTCCAGGACGAAGTGAATTGACTCTTCAACTTTTGACGACATCCTGCAGTTTTTGAGAACCAACCTATGGTATAACTGTTCGTACCGGATGAACTTAGTTCGTACGGGACTATGCTTGGATACGATTTCAGTTCGTACCAATATACATTTGGTTCGTTTCCACATATTTAAGTAAAATCATCCAGGATAATCCACGATCATACGGGACGATCAACTTTGTGTTGACTTGAAAATTTATAGTTTTTGGACGATTTTTCTTGTATTTCATATAAATAGTCCAATTTAGACTGTCACTTAATCTTTTTGCCTACTGATCTTCGTGTCTATTGAAAGAAGAGTCAATGAGAGAGTGCGAGAGAGTGTTCGAAGGAGGATTCTTACTACTGGAGCGTGAAGGCTTCACTTGTTATTCAAAGGTAAGAATTTTTACTTTTGATTTGTGTTTACTTCACTATTTTCTCTCTTCCTTCTAGATTTCTTGTGAAAAAGATCTGTCAAGGAGATTCGGTTCTCTGCCAACACTTGGAGAGTGTGAAAGGATGAAGTGTTCTCTACCCACACTAGGAGGTGTTAAAGGACGAAGGGTTCTCTGTCCGTACTAAGAGAGTGTGAAAGGACGAAGGGTTCTCTGCCTACACAAGGAGAGTGTCAAAGGACGAAGGGTTCTTTGCCCACTCTAGGAGAGTGTGAAAGGATGAAGGGTTCTCTGCCCATACTTGGAGAGTGTGAAAGGACGAAGGGTTCTCTGTCAACATTAGAAAAAGTGTAAAAGGACGACGATTCTCTGCCATATCGGGTAGTGGTGCAAGAGAGTTTTGTAAAGGCTTCTCCACCTTGTTGTGGGTGCAAAAGGAGAGTCACTTGTGATATTAGTGCAATACTCAGAGGGTGCCTCCGGGGAGTAGATGTAGGTCAAGTTTGACCGAACCACTATAAATCTCGTGTCTTTTATTTTTTCGCTGCTTTTTTTTTTATTTTATTGTTTCAAAATTGTGGTTGAAAAATATTTTCTATAAAATTCACTAAAGTTAATTTTATCGGTTTTAAATTTTAAAAGAGGGATTAAATTTTAATTACCAATTCACCCCCCCCAATAATATAAACTATATATATATATAGTGTCTGAAACTGACTTGTATAAGATATGATATGTCTCCAACACGTATCAGACATGATATGCCTCTAACTAGAATTTCACAATAATACACGATGTCATCTATCCAATGTCATAAAAAAATCAATATTTCAAAATCATCTCAACATTGAAGTTATGATGTTATTTTGACATTGATGCTCAAGGCCAATAATTTCTAGACCCACAATCACTCCCCTGTATTGTCTCAATATCTCATCTTTGTCAAGCATTATCTCTACATAGTCTCGACATCAAGGGCTAACACTGTCTTAATGTCAGTGTCTGATGCTCATTGCACAATAACTATTTGCAACTCTCGACAACATTGTTGTCTCCCATCTTAATGCCTAACACAACATCCATGCCCGACTCTCGATATCATAATATTGATTAGTTTAAGCATAAATCTTAGCTAAATGAATTTTTATTTCTCAAATTTTTTATATTTTATTTTTTCAATTATTATACACTATTTTTAAGTTAAACAAAATTATAATATTATGTCCAAACCATGTCTTTGTCCTAAATTTTCAATAATTGATGTATCACTCTCTACAGCATTATTATCCAACTCGTGTCTCTACCTATGAAAACATAGGCTAATTCTAATACATCTTCTCTCATAACTGGCCATTGAAAGGTTATATTTGACCAAACCATCTAAGGCAACTCTCTCTAATCTTATCTATCACTAGAGCTACTTCAATCTTTTCATGTTTATAGACAATTCACATTCTATCTCTAAGTGTGAAGCCACTCGTCCACCTAAGAATCCTTATCTCTACAACACTTAACTTAATTTTATGTTTCTCTTTAATTGGCCAACATTCTGCAACATAAAGCACTACATTCCTCCACTTCAACTATCCAACTTGAATCCTACTAATAATATCCCCACCCATTTCAACATCACAATAATAGACCCGATAAATCTTACTCATTTTAATGACTTAACTACCCAAAGTCATAATCACCCACTAGATTTATTTCTACTACAATTACACTCCATATATTCATTTTTAAATCTTTTTAAATGAAAACATTAGACTTGAAGGTTACCTTCATAATTCAAGTTTTCCTTCAACTCATTCTCTTATCTTATCAATAGAAATAATATCATCAACAAAAATAATCACTAGGATACCTCTTATAAATGTTTAGTGAGAACATCTATGACTAAAGCAAAAAAGATATGGGCTTAAAGCTAATCCTTTATGTATTTAAACTAAAATAAGAAAATAGTTGGTCAAAGCACCTTATGTTTGAATATAAGTATTGTTAACTCCTTTCTTTTTTAAAACTCTCTAGAGCACTATTCTTGGAACTTTATCATATGATTTCTCTAAATTGATAACAAACATATGTAGATTCTCCCAATTTTTTATATGCTTCTATATTAACTTAATTTTTAAGTTTTATATTTGTTGTGTGGGCACTGCGATGCCAGGGGTGGCGGTACCCCAATTTTGAGCTTTAAGAAAAATGGAGAAAAATTGGAAATTAGAACATGTATTGTGGCATCTATTGCAATTGAGAGCATGAGTTTATTTTTTATGATAGCATACATTATTGGATTGTATTTAGCTTCTTCTATATTTTATTATTGCATATATTTTTTATATGTACTAATATTTCAGGTTAGCAAACACTAAAACTTGGTAAAGGATCAAGGCTTAAGTTTAGATAGTATAGGTTTTATCTAGACAATCTAAATTATACTACATGATATGTTTAATAAAAAATTAATTAAAATATTTAATTAATTATGAATTAAATTTAAATAAATAATAACTAATCATATTATATGACCACCTAATCATATAAGATGATTATATATTATAATAAACTTCACCATTCATTAAATTAGGCAAAAAATTGAATTTAAAATTTTGTTCTATTTATATTGTATGAACCAAAATATATTACCTAATTTAATCTTGTTATTAATCAATAAAAATGTTTAATTATATTTTTTTGTACTATATGAAATAGATTGTATTAGATGATCGACAAAGATGATTTTGGCCATCCCAACATTTATTTGTGGACCTCCGAAAGGACACTGCCGGCTGCAGAGTGTAGAGGGTATGCAACTGCACCACCTTGAGGGATAGAGACGATCATACGCCTCTGTGCTCCTCATAAATGGGCCAATGGAAGAGTAGATTAGATCATATATATGATTAACTATTGAGGATAGCAACTCTCGCCAGCACACCCTGATGGGTAGTAATGTATACGACCTGATTAAAACAACTTGTTTCCCCCACTCGATATATCAGCTCAAGTGGGGTTTATTTGATGGTAGAGTTCTATTTCCCATGAGTGTAAACTCATGTGGTTAATTACATCTCAAACCTAGGGCCCAAGAAAACTCTTGATTAAGGATCCGATATTATTCTACCCAGACAAGGGGATTAACACATAAAAGGGAGACTAGGAAGTTCCTACTCAAAAGGAAAGACAGGCTCACATCAGCTTAGCCAACATGCAGGGTTTATACGAACATCCGAATGGAAGTGGCGCCATCTATGTGATGCAAATAAGTAGAATTT